CTGTAGGTCAAACGCTCTGCTTCACTCCCCACTGAGCAGCCCCTTGGTTACAGCTCAGAGAGATTTAGGAGAAAAACTCGTGCTGAATGCTAGGGGTGGCTGGGACAGGAATCAGCAACAAGGAGAAGTCCTTCCTCTGCTGCATGAACCTAATGCTCACTCAGTGCTTTGCCCAGACTGCACCCCATGCTCAAGGTGAGGTCGCACCATGCAGTACCCAAAGTTCTGCAGCCCTCCCACGTCACCCAGCTTCACTTCCAGTGGCCATGCATTTTTTTTCCACATAAGCTGAAGAAGAACCATGCTCAGCAAAGCCCATCTTCTGACCTGCCTGTGTAACTTCAACATTTTGCAGTTCCCTCTTATGTGCTTTTCAGGGATGCTACTTAAAAAGCAACCAGCACTAATGGGCCCCAGTGCCTTCAAAAGCAGTTTCCCAGAGGAACTTGCCAACTAGTTCCCCAAGCAGCCTGAAGTCTGCTCTCATAGCATCACAGAATGATAGCATCACAGAATCATAGAATCGTAGAATCTTAGAAAGGCCTGGGTTGCAAAGGAGCACAACGCTCACCCAGTTCCAACCCCCTGCTGTGTGCAGGTCGCCAACCAGCAGCCCAGGCTGCCCAGAGCCACATCCAGCCTGGCCTTGAATGCCTGCAGGGATGGGGCATCCACAGCCTCCATGGGCAACCTGTTCCAGTGAACACTCTCCCCTTTATCCAGGAGAGAGCAGAAATTGTGGTGACAGCTTTCCCCCCATCACTGTTTTAAACTCAACTATTTCATGGTCAATATGGCTGAGGCAGCCACCAACTGCCACCTCACCCACGAGTCCCTCTCTGCTTACAGGCAAGACCCTGGCTATAAATCCCTTGCACAGCATCTGCCAGAAGTAAGGAACATCTCAACCTCAAGGAGTGACCTTGAGAGGCGTTCCTGCTCAAACAGAAAATCCCATTTGTCTCCTATTTATGGAGTAAGATGATTGACTGTTGCTCATCTTTGAATCCCAGCCACGTCGGGTTGGCGTTGTTGACCATCACCCCTGCATCCACCTTAGCCTGGTTCTGCTGTCACAGCCAGACACGTCCATCCTGATGGCTATCACACGAGAGGGGTATGAGAGGAGGGCCAGGCTGTGGGGCAGGGCAGCACCAACACAGTTCATCCCATGACCATAGACAGTTGTTCTGACCCTCAGAGCAGCAGTGTGGTCACCTCTCACCTCTGTGCCATAAGTGGTGCATTGATCATCTGTGCACTTAGGGATCCTCAGTAAGCAGCCTGTGAAGTACTGCTCCTTGTTATGTATTACTCCCCATGTTTTGGGTGGCTGAAGTTGTGCCAAACCTATATATATGATATGATAATAAGTAGATAAACGAATACCTGAGGTAGTAAAATGACAGCTGGATGAAGGATGCAACAGGAGGCAACAGATCTGCACTCTGCATATAACCCAATTATAACTACTGATAAGACGTAATGTAACAGGAGGTGATTAATCAAAATCACATCCCATAATTACAATAATGTTAAAAAAAAACACAAACATTTGAGTGACTACTTGTACCTACAGCAATATTATCTTCCAATATAAAACCACAAAAGGCTTCCATATAAACACAACCTTTTCCAATGTACACAAACACAGTTTCATCAGAACGCATTTCAAAATGACAAACATTCTGTTTAGCACCAAGACAAACATCTTGGGCTTTGGTGGTGTTACTCCCACAAATAAACCCTTGTTGTTCCCCAGCAACGCACGCGTTCACATCAACAGTTTGCCATTTGTTTCTGGTTCATTGGGCCCACTTTCAGTGCTTTATGAGCATCGTCCCGCTGTGATTCAGTCCTGGTGCAGTGATTGAGTGCACGGCATACGCCAAAGCATTTGGTATTATCAGGATGTGAGAGCTTTATTGGTGATGGGGCTGCGAGTAGAATTAACCAAACATCACCAAGATTGGGATTTGTCTTCAAATTCAATTGGATGATCCCAAACCACTTCTCAAATTTCAGAGGTAAGGTGCCTTCCTTGTCTTCTCTTATAATCATTACTGCCATAGATTAATTGCACCCACAGTTGAGCTCGGATACAATTAAGAGTTCGTGTTTCTTGAGCTCTTACATCCACAATTAGTTGGTTGTTCTTTGACTTAATATCTGCACACAGAACTCTGAGATGCAAAGTGTTTCTTTCCTTATTTTTCCTCTCTCTCCTTTTTTTTTCAAACCGCAATAGCAGATCAGGGCTAATGATGGTTCTTGTACCAGACTGCTTGGATTTCAATTATGCTAACTGAATCTTTTGCTTGATACGCTGCGTGGTTCCACTTCTCTCATAACGACGCCCACAGCCCTGGCAGCAGTCGCAGCAGCAGCCGTGTGGGACCCCATCACACACCTCCAATGGGATGTGCAGCCCCAGCGAGCTCCCATGTGCTGGAGGAGTGTGGAGGTCCTGGCAGGGACACCGTGCACACACTGTGCCCAAAGCATTCACCCCGCAGCTGCTCCCCCAGATCTGACCCCAGGGGAGAAGCACCCTGTGACGGATGGCACCAGGCAAAGATCCACCAAGGATGGAGCAAAGGCAGGTGGTCCCCAGCCGTCCCATGGACTGAATGGATATGGGACCAGGCTGAGTGGGAATGGCCCCATTTTCTGCACTGCCGTGTGTACAGGTACCCTTGTGGGGGCAGGGAGCACGCGTTTGTGTGGGGCACATCAAAGGTCTTTCTGAGGAGATGCAGGGAACCATGCAGATGTGGCATCTGTGGGGAAAAAAGCTGCAGAAAACATGACAGAAATCGCAACCACGGGCATTTGAGTAGATAAATGTGGGAACAAGGTGGGAATGGCTCTCCCAACGCACAGGCGAGCCTCTCCAGTATACTGCAGGGCTTCAAAGAAGAGGACCAGGCAGACCCAGGGATTCCCTCTGCCTGGGTTCCAATCCCATGGGGTGAGGATGATGTCCTGCACTCTGGTGAACAGCTGAGCCATGAAGCAAAGGCGTGCGGCTGTCCTCTGCAGCAATCCCCTACAGCAGTCTGTGCTGGGACTTCTGCTCTTGATCCAGGAAAACAACAAGGCCACGAGTGTGGTGATGGGATTAAATCACTGCAGGAACAGGAGGACCAGCTGCAAAACGCTGCAAAGACCCTCGTAAGGCTGAGTCACCTAACAATGAAACAACAGACAAAAAAAAATCTGTTCTGATCAACATGAAAGGATGCGTTTGGGGAACAAAGCACAACACTTCAGATAGAAAATGACAGGCTCGTGGCTAACAATTATCTCCCAGGAACAAGCTGTCACAGCTCCGATAGCTTTACAGCAACACAGTTCAGTGATCAGCAGCTTCCAAAAACAAACCCGATATTAGAAATTCCTCAGTGAGGAACAGAAAACAGGAAGGGCAGCACTGTGCATCTGAAATGCTGCTGCTGCTGCAATGCTGTGCCATGGGGAGCAGGAAGACGTGGCAGGAGTGATGAGCAGGCAGCGTGGATGGGGTTTGTAAAGGGACAGCTGGGAGGAGATGGGGCAGAGGAAGCAAAGGCACAGAGGAGGTGAGTGGGGGCAGATTGCTCCTTGTCACTGCTACTGAGACAGCTGAAAAGCACGAGGAATGGGAGCAGTGAGTGTCTGGCTCAGAACCAAAGAAAGTTTTGGGCTGGAAGGGACCTCAAGGATCACGAAGTTCCAACCCCCCACCACACGCAGGGCCACCAACCTCCACATTTCATAGCAGCCCAGGCTGCCCAGGGCCCCATCCAACCTGGCCTTGAACACCTCCAGGGATGGACGGGGCATCCACAGCCTCTCTGGGCAGCTGTTCCAGCACCTCACCACTCTCTCTCTAAAGAACTTCCCCCTGACATCCAACCTCAATCTGCCCTCCTTCAGCTTCAAACCATTTTCCTTGTCCTGCTGTTACCTCCCCTTTCCAAGAGCTGACTCCCCTCCTGTCTGTAGGCTCCCTTTAGGTCCTGGAAGGCTGCAATGATTCACCCCGCAGCCTTCTGTTCTCCAGGCTGAACAAGCCCAGCTCCCTCAGCCTGTCTTTGTAGTGGAGGTGCTGCAGCCCCCGATCATCTTTGTGGCTCCTCTGGACCCTCTCCAACAGCTCCCTGTCCTTCTTCTCCTGGGGGCTCCAGACCTGGACGCAGTGCTGCAGATGGGGCCTCACAAGAGCAGAGTAGAGGGGGACAATCACCTCCCTGTCCCTGCTGGCCCCCCCTCTTCTGATGGAGCCCAGCATCCCATTTGCTTTCTGAGATGCAACAGAGGAAGCACACCAGTGCTTGTGCAGCACGTGGCCAGGCTGTGGAAATCACCAAAATGCGGTCTTGTGGAGCTACAAGTTTTCAATTTAAGATAAGCTCCTTAGGCAGGCAGGTTCACCTCCAAAGTCCAGCATTGGGATTGAAGCAAAACAACCCCCAGCCTCACTGTAGGAGACCTGCTTTTGGGAGGGGTTTGGACGTGATCCCCAGCTGTCCCTCCCAACCCCAAAATCCTGTGATTCTATGGAAACGTGTGCTGTGCCAGCAGGAAGCTCTGCTGGTCTGTGGAGCTTTCCTTCTTGGTCGGACCCCCACTTTTCTTTTCAGTTATTGATCTCACAGCTTTGCAATAAGTGCCCCATTCCCCTCCACCAGCTGGCCTCTATTTTCGTGCTGGGAGTTATCACTCCTCCCCCTTAGACAGCAGCACTTGTCATAGAATTATGGCCTGGGTCGGACAGAACTTCAAAGATCATTTAATTTCAACCTCCCTGCCATGGGGGGGTTCTGCACGCCCTGCTCTGTGATGAGCACTTCTGTATTTATTGGTGGTGCATGGCAGAATCCTGGATCTGCCCTCCTTCCCCTGTTTTATCTCACGTAACAGCATGCAGAAATTTAAACTGCCTGGTGTGAAGCAGAGGGAAAAGGACTTTGTGTGAGTGGCCATAGCAGATAAGAGCCCAGTCCTCCCCACACACCTCCACCACACACCAGATTGCTGCAGAAGGTTGAGGCAGCCCGTCACCACCACACAACTACTTCCAAGGCAATGAATGCTGGCTGGAGTCAGAGCTCCTTAAGCACATTAAGAAAGTAATTGCAAGTGCCAGCACCTGTGTCAGAAGGTTTTCCTATTAAAGCTGACTGCAGGAGGCTGCTGCTCTGAATGCTTTTGAGGGGGCTGAATAGCCTCTAGGCAGGTAATGTTGCTTTCTGGTTGGGTTTGTTTGATGAGTGAGGGGTTATTTGGGGTGTGATGTTGCTGGTGTTTTGTTTTTGTTGTTTTTTTTCTTTTCAATATTATATGTACGTAGGTTTGATGCAAGTTAGCTCCATTCCTTGGGACTGAATGTGTTTTCTTAGTTTTGAAATCACTCCTTTCTTTGTCGCTTCAGTGCTGTCAGGGGTCCATCCTTCTGTGTTCTGTGAAATGCTTTGTAAAATCTGGACTCGTAGAATGGTTTGGGTTGGAAGCAACCTTTAAGATCATATAGTTCCTGCTATAGGCAGGAACATCTCCCTCTAGAGCAGCTTGCTCTGGCTTGACCTTTTTCCCTGCACTAGCAAGGGATGCAGAGCAGCTCTGCTGTGTAAGGAGTAACTTCTGAAGTTCTGGGAGTGCAGAGGGGGAAGTGTGGTAACATGAAGCTGTCTTCTGTTTCCTCAAGTTTGAACTCTAAGCTGTGGGTTTCTGAAGACCCAAATAAAGCAAATAACAGCTCTTCTTTTTTGATATGCTCCTGGAAACGAGATGGGTCTCTTGCAGTTCTTGGTGTACTGATGCATTTAACTATGAGTTCTAAGCAGCTTGCCACAAAGATTCTTGAACTAGAAAAGCATTTTCTAACTAAATACTTGGAGTCTAAAAGCTCTGCAGGGGGTGGCTTAGTGCAGAAAGGCCCCAGCTCCAAATGGGTCCCCAGAAGCATCCCTCTTCTGATCAGGGTGCTCTACAGGATACTTTAGGCTGGCAATCAAGTACCCTGAATGCAAAAAGGACGTTGTGCCTCCCATGTGCAGCTGCTCAGAAGACAACACGTGGCTGACCTTGCTGCCTTGCCTGGGGGAGCTGCTGTTGTGTCCTTGCTGATGAGCATTGCTGGCAACCTGTCTGTGTGTTTCCAGGAGCTTGCGCAGTGTGTTGGCTGCTGCTGCTCTGTGACATCCCTGACCCCATGGGGCTGGCTGTGGAGATGAGAGCAGGGCAGGTGCTGCTGGTGCTGTTGGGTGCCTCTGTGGTGATGCCTGCCAAGGACCTGCTGCTGAATGTCTGCATGGATGCCAAGCACCACAAAACCAAGCCTGGCCCAGAGGGGATGCTGCATGGCCAAGTATGGTGCTGCTGATGGGTTGAGTGGGGCTGTCTGGGCTCTCTGTACTTCCCACAGGTGACTGGGGTTAGCAGCCCCTTGCCTGATGAAGGCTTGTGCTGGGAAGGAGGTCTGCTTGCTTGCTGCTTCCTTCTGGGCAAGGGCTAAGACAGTGGTGTGGGTAACTGGAATTTTGGTCACCCTTCCTTTTGCCACGGGCCTCCTTCCCAAGGTTTAGGTACTGAAGATGAGAAGATGATGTATAGCAAGGGAAAGATGTCTTCTCTACTCCCTCTCAATGCCACAACCCCTTCTCTTATTGAAGGGCTCTGATGCCAGGTCCTTGGTGTGGATGGGACTAAGCAAGCCAGGATGCAGGAGGTGCCAATTTTTGCATTCCTCTGCCTGGCACCCATTTCTGCTGAGGATCTGAGCCCCAAGGTTCTCCTCTTATTTTTCCTCCAACACCATTTTGCTGCAATCTTGAGTTCTTTGGTCCAAAATACCCAAGGGCTGCCTGGAGAAGAGAAAGTACTCTTGCTGGGGGGCATTATGGGATGCTGACACATGCAGCATCCTTGAGCTCCCTTAAGACCCTCTGCACAGCCTTCTCCTGCTCTGCTGCAGTGTGCTCCCTGGAAGGACAATGCCTGCTGCACAGCCAACACCAGCTCAGAGGCCCACAAGGACCAATCCTACCTGTACAACTTCAACTGGAACCACTGTGGGGTGATGCCGCCCAAGTGCAAGCGTCACTTCATCCAGGATACGTGCTTGTACGAGTGCTCACCCAACCTGGGGCCCTGGATTGACCAGGTAGGGTCAAATTCCATGTGATGGAGTGCGGCTGATAGTGGTGTCACATGCTATATGGTGGTCCTCCACATGATATGCTGTGGCACATAAAGGCATGTGCTGCCCAGGGATGCTTCTGTTTTTCTAGTGGGTTTGAACAGGCGGATGGAATGGCTGCCTTACTGTCCAAGCTTGTCTCTCTAGGAATG